TGTGTAAAGATACATGCACCCCTATGTTCATGGCAGCATTATGCACAACAGCCAAGACTTGGTGGCAACCTAGGTGCCCATCAAGGATGAATGGATAAAGCAGATGTGGTATACATACACAAGGGAGTACCATTCAGCCATAAAAAATGATGAAATCTGGCTATTGGTGACAACATGGATGGACCTTGAGGGTATTAATGCTAAGCGAAATAAGTCAGAGGGAGAAAGTCAAATACCGTATGATCTTACTCATAAGTAGAAGACAAAAACAACAAACACATAGATACAGAGATCTGATTGGTGGTTACCAGAGAGGAAGGGGGAAGGGGGGAAGGTGAAAGGGGTGATTAGGCACCTGTGTATGGTGATGGATTATAGTTAGTCTTTGGGTGGTGAACGTGATGTAATCTACACAGGAATTGACGTATAGTGATGTACACCCAAAATTTATATAATATTATAAAACAATGTTATCGCAATTAAAAAAGAGAGGAAAATAATAATAAAGTAAATTACTCTTTCCTTGCAGTTGCATAAACTGTCAGACTCTCCTTCATCCATGATCACTGAGTGACTTTTCAACCTGAAATACTGTTGAGATGGCCAGTGTGGAGATCCAGACCTAATCATTTTCCCTCTATGAACAGCTTCATAGGATGAATGTGAAACAGAAAGAAACGTGATCTGCAACTGATTCCATTTGGATTTAAATTAAGATACACTATGTGCTAAAAGTAACTTTTAAAGCTTAAGGGATAAATGAACTTGTGGCTTGCCTCCCAGGTCTTTCTTCCTAATTTATCACTGAAGCGAAGCCAGTGTAAGAACAGTGTGACAGTGACGCTTGCCAATGACTAAGCTAGGTTTTGAACAATTGTGGAAAATCCAGTGCCAGATTTTTCTCAGAATGACAGTCACATTGAGATATCTGTAGCACACACTTTCCCGATACTCCACCCCCAACTCCTTCAGTTACAGAGAGAAGATGTGGACAGTTCTCCGAAGGATCTAGGAAGAGATGCTCATCAGCTCAGGGACAGTCTCGCCGAGGCAGCAAGTGCTGGAACAAAGACATTTGAGTACACTAGCAGAGCTCAGTGTGCATCCGTCAATACTTCTGAGGGGGCCTGGCAAGGACAGGGCGGTCTTACCTGGGCAGCTGTGCAGGTTCATGGGATCCGTATGGTTGGGCCTGCAATCTTTAGAGAGAATACACATATGATTTTGCTGAAAACCAGGATAATATTAGTCAAATAAGCCCCCTCATTGATTTTCCAAAGAAACCAAAGACGTAAAGGAAAGCTTTTGAAGAATATGGTGCTACTGCTCACATGTGGTTGCTGAATGTTTTATGTACTGTTTCTAACAATAAGAACTGCAGGTGAAATGCACTTTGATACGTTTTTCACAGAATAATGTCTTCCAAGCTAAAGGTTGAAAGAAAAAGACGTAAAACTTTGTGAGAGTTATTAATTCCACAGATAATTGGGTGAAGAAAGAAGGCAGACGAGAGCAAACGTTTTGAATGATTTAATATACCAAAGCAAATAATAATCTAAATTACCTAATTCTGGAACTATTTCTTTCGGTATATGTGAAAGTAATAATCAAGATTATAAAAGTGATTTAGCAAAAAAATAGTTTTCAAAGCATTAGACCATAATCCTAATTATGTCAGCTATCTTGAGATGATGACAAGTAAATTTATAGGTGAGTTAATAAGACACAATATATATCATCAATGAAATTTTTTAGCTACACTCTGTGATTTATGTCATTTTAAGAGTCTAACATTGCAATGAAACCATGTTCAAAAGCCAGAGAGATACAGGGAAATAACTAGGTATTCACTTGAAAAAAAGGATAGAGCGCTGTAGCTAATAGAGAATCACCCAGCCATCCATCACTCTATGTTTGACTAACTGCCCGCTTCTCTCTTCAAATACTCATCTACTGGAGAACCGCCCTCCCTCAGAGGCTGGAAGCCAGCTCACACACAGTTCTAATTCAGCCTTTCCACGGGTTCCCAAGGTCTTGTGTTTCCTCTTCTGAATAGAAACCTAGATAGACAGACCGGCAGACATACCCTTTCCACAGTACCGGAAAGAACTTTACTACAGTGGTGACCAAATGAAACTCTAAGTTTCCCTCAGTGGTGAAAAGAAAAAGAAGAAAAAAGGGCAAAATAGTGAATTTTAAATAAAATAAAATTTATTCATTTTTTGTAATTTGTGCTTTTTCATTGTTACAATGCCCTTTATATAATCAAAAGATTTTAATAAAGGATAGTAGCTGTTTGATTTTGTTCTTTGTCTTGATAAAATAAAAATGTCAAAACTATGCAGTGTTACCCTCCAGCTTTATTTTATTTTTACTCATCTCTAAAAGCCAAGAGTCTTGAAATAACTTGTGCAGAGTTTCACATGGAAATAAATGTGTTGCCTGTTGACCAATATATTTAATCACACTATTGTTTTTTAGTAAATATAGCTTTTATCTGCCCCGAATATATATATATATCTTTCTAGTAATGTAAAGCCCTAAACTGGGTTTTTCATGATATGGTTTCTGACTCTGCATCCACATGTGTTTTTGTCTGTCTTTCTCTTTCTCCCCATGACTCCTCCAAGCACCTACCCACATTTTCACAGACCATCAGTATAAGAACTTTGTCCAAACTTCTGAATCTGGAATTTTCTTGCTTACTACAGTTAAATGTACTGATGACAAAAGAAGGCAAACATGTTTTAAATCAAATACACTCTAAATCAACTTCTTGATCACTCGCTAGTAATTAGAGCTGAGTTTGAACTGAGACAAACAGCATGCCCTGAAACTGGAAATGAGTGACCACCACCATAAAACAGGGCTTCCGAGGATTTGGGACCACCATTCACAGTAAGAAATTCATCACACCAGCGCTCAGAACGCACATTCACAAAGACACAACCAAACATATGCAACTCAAGTTAAAGTCTCATAAAACAATGCTTATTCTTTTTTAGTGCAATGCACTCTGACATGTTTTATTCTATCATTTTTTAAGCTGACCACGTTGCCATATTGATTTCATGATCCACTAAAGTGTCGTGGCTTACAGCTTGAAAATTGTTGCCATAAAGCATATGTCGTAAGGTGGCTATTGAATTGTATAGCAATATAAAGTTCAAAATTTACATTAAATCAATATAAAATTAGAAACAGCCTTATCAAATCATTTTCTAGTGTGTTGCCTTTGAATTCCTGAAGGAAAGAAGCAAATATTTTTATCTCAGCTTTCTCAGTTTCCCTTCATCTCATCTAAGTGGCTCTATCTCTACCCTCCGTGATTTTTCTCCAGATATATTTCTTCTAAACCGGAAGAAGAATGGGAAAGAGAAGATAAATAAAAGTGCTTTTTTTAAAGGAAACTTTGAGGAGCCTAGTTTTAGCATCGATGATGACTGAAAGCTGGACTAAGATTCTGAACTATATGTGTGAACTTCTCAGCAGATGTTCTTAAAAGTACTAAAGGAATAACTTATTTTAAATAGCCTATTTCAAGTTTATATAATAAATTCTTGACAATGTTTTCTGATTTCTTTTCAAATAAATAAAAGGTAGGTAAAATTTTAAATTGGTAAATATATTGGTTATGTATACATAGGTGTGTTTGTGTGTGTGTGTGTGTGTGTGTGCGCGCGCGCACGCGCGCACGCCACGCTTACTATGGCAGGAGCCCAGGCTTTCGAATCCAAAGAGAAGTAAGTTCAAGTCCTGGTTCTGATCTCTTTTCTACTGTGTGATTTTTAGAATTTCTTCTAAAGTTTCCTCCACTGCAAAATGGAAAAATAATCACACTTGCCTCACAAGCTGTTTTGAGGGACAAATTAGACAAAGTAAGCAAAATCAAAGTGCTATTAAATTGTTCATTATGACCATAGATTTCAGGGGATGATCTGTTTAAGTGTATTTCATGCTTGTAAAAAAAATAAAATAGGCCTCCTTGACCATTTCAATTGATTTCCATGCATGACTCTAATCTTACAATTCACTTAATGCATGTAAGTAGAGAAAAAGAGCCCCTTTAAGACAAGGAAATTATAGAGAAAAGATTAATAATATAGTTGAGGTTAGAAGGATATCAAATTCTGTACTTACTTCCTAAAATCTTTAGACATTTGAACTTGACCATCAAGTGATTGCTACTGAGAAGCTCCCATACTCTGAAGGACTTAAAATTCCAGCTCCTCTTGGCTCCCTTAAATTAACGACCATATAGAAAGTCCAGTCTGTGGAGTATGTTCTGTAGACCACATGAGGCATTGGCACATTATGGCCCACCACCTATTTATCTATGACCTGTGACCTAAGAATGGTTTTTATATTTCTAAATGGTAAGGGTGAAAATTAAAAGAAGGAATGTTTTGTGACAATGAAAATTATATGAAATTCAAATTTCAGTGTCATAAATAAAGTTTAATTTGAACACAGTGTAGGTTTTTCATTAATCTATTGTCTGTGGGTGATTTCATGCTACAATAGCAGAGTTTAGCTGTTACAATAGAGACCACACAGCCTGCAAAGCCTAAAAGTAAATATTTATTATTTGGTTCATTATTGTTTGCCAATCCCAGACTACACAGGAAAAAGAAACTCAGGGACAAAATGTGGATGATGCTTATTAGCTCCATAATAAACCCAATATAGTTATTTTTAAATATAGCAAGGATGATTCTTAACCATAATTAGTATATTTGATACTTGATATAAAGAGTGTGCATCTGTCAACATGAACTACATAACCTATTTCTGAACAACGACTCGTGTTGTGCTTCCAAACCTAGTAAAGAAAAACAAATAGTTTTTATCCACCTAATAGTTGTAGCACACATCCAGTCAATGTGATTAGATATTATTACTATAATGGGATAGATGTCAGCTTAAGAGAAAGCCCCAAACACTATTTTCCACAGGACTTCCATCTATTATCATAAATGAAAATTCAGCATTCCTCCAAATCAAACTTTAATTCTGATCAAGCAGTACTTTATTAAGCTGCCAGGACTACAAAAACCACTGATTTGACCCGAAGGGAAGTGCTAGCATTTGAAGGAGTGGGAGGATTCTGTTTATGTATTTAACAGTGCCAATTAAACAGAGACTAACAGATAAGGCCTTCTTATTTATTATTTGCTGGCAGTTACTTGAGCAGAACAGTTAAAACACCAGCCAGACCAAGGAGTTCCGCTCCAATGGACCTACGAGTCAAAAGAGAATATTGAACAGGAACATTCAGAATTTGCCTCTTTTAAATCTCAAGCACTTTACAATTTTATCAAACAAATAATAAATCATCACTAAACCTTGATTTAATTTTTGAAACTGACAAGAGTAAATTGTCCACCAATCAGATAAAAGTATGAACTATTACATAAATATAAAATGTAATGTTTTCCCTTCATAGTTTACAGTGCTTCCTAGACTGGAGGATGCCCACACCTCCTCCACCCCCACAACACAACACACTGGAGTGTGAGAAGAAAACATTATAAAAGTCTTATTTCCCTTTTTGGTTAACTTTTTATGATGTACATTAGTATAATAATACTTTTATATAGTCATAAATGAATAAATGTACTGGGGCCGGCCGGGTGGTGCAGCGGTTAAGTTCACACGTTCCGCTTCGGAGGCCTGGGGTTTGCCAGTTTGGATCCCGGGTGCGGACACGGCACCACTTGTCAAGCCATGCTATGGTAGGCATCCCACATATAAAGTAGAGGAAGATGGGCATGGATGTTAGCTCAGGGCCAGTCTTCCTCAGCAAAAAGAGGAGGATTGGCAGCAGTTAGCTCAGAACTAATCTTCCTCAAAAAAAAAAAATGAATAAATGTACCCATAATGAGAGCATATCACAAGAATATTTCACTTACGGGTAGATATAATAAAAAATAATTGAAAACTATTGATCTAATTTACTCTGGTTTGGTACTGAAGCATAATTAATTGCAATAATTGAAAGATTTTTGATATAAGCTACGCTAATAGATCTTACAGAAAATGTTTGGTTTCTCTAATACTCGACTGTGGTCTCTAAAAACCACAGCCCACTGGAAGGAAGCAGGGCTTTTTGAAGAAATGGCTGATTGCAGTCCTGCTCTGGGAAATGCATAGGATGAGCATGGTGCAAGGGTGAGAAAGCTGTCAAAAACTACTGAGGGCAGGTCCAAAGGTCTCAGGAGTCAAAAGAGGCTTCCACTGACCAAGAATGGGACCATGCGGGCATCCATGAGGATCGTAACTGCAACAGACTGCCTGTTTAAAAAGTGATCAGATGCAGCGGTCACTTTTTGAGGATACTAGGAAACTAACATTTTTAAAACTGCTAAATAAAAGAAAGAATGCAGAATTTATCTCACCTTTCCTAAAAATAATAAAATAAAAATACTCAAGGCAGATAGGATAGGTGACATTGTGCACTTGAAGTGAAAAATGGCACCTTTTTTCCACAACCAACGGCATAACTTCTAATCTTGTTCTCAGTACAGGAATATTACTGAACCAAAAGAAACACAGTGTTATTTTTACAAGGAGTTTAGAGTCTGATGCCCTGACTGGTTGATTTTGTAAAGACAAATGATTCTGCTACCTAATTCAAAACCTCTTGGAATCTATAGTTGAGATCAATTCTTCATAGACGGTTAAAGTGAAGAAGTTTTAATAAAATTGTCTTCTTTCCAGTGGTTAATCCTTAAGACCTGAAAAGTCCTTTTGAGCTGATAATGTTTCTTTTTTTTTTTCTCTCCTGCCGGTAGAAATGAAGCCAAATAAAATACCCTATTCCACAGTTCCCTTCAAGGATATAAATGAGACCACAAGTGTCCTGGCTTTGCCTGCTAAGCTGGCTAAAATCCCTATAGCCATTTGCTTACCTCAGGGGGACTGGATAGCGCCTTTAAATTATGTTGTATATGGTATGTCCTCGCGTTTTAAAAACCCTCTAAGCAGCAGCACAAAGTCTCATTCCTTAAAGTGGTGCAATGAAGATGCCGGCTCATTTCCCTTTGTGCCTTCCAACATGCTCGACGCATTAATATTTCTCCCTGCCACGGTCCATGAGCGCTTCAAGGTGAGGACAGGATGCAGCCACAGGACAACAGAATCCGGGAAATGAGCTACGAAAGAGGACATCATTTTAAAACAAAAAATCACTCTCTTCTTCCTCATTTCCCATACTGATCACTCTATACAGCACTTGAGAGAGAAACAGCCTCAGATACTTGGAATTAGATAACCTAATTTCATATCTCCAATTCTTCTATTGAGTAGCTGCAAATAACTTAAAATCTCTCAGGCTCCCTTTTCTTATCTGTACACAAAATAATTGTTATTACTATCAAACTGAAAACTGGAAAAAGAGGAAATAAATATAAAATTGCTTGTACAATAAACGTAGTCAATATTGTCATCTTAAAAATCTAATTTGGAGAATAAAAAAGTGCTGGATTTCCCATAGTCCACAGTATCTACATGCCATAGACTGTGCTGAGCACCTTACATATATTACCATGTTGAATTGTCCCCAAAACAGTGAGGTATGTGCTAGCATCCTCAGCTTACTAATCAGGAAGTTGAGACTCAGAGAAGCTAAGTAACTTTTCAGAAGACACACGTGGAATAAGTAGCCCGAGGTTCACTGTGAATCCAAATCTACCTGACTCCACAACCAAGCTCTTACTCTTACCTTATTCTGCATTTCTACACAGACAGAAGGGGAAAAAATGAGACTGAGAGAGACAGACAGAGAGAGAGAGATTTAAAATATAAAACGACAATTTTTTTAAAATGTAAGCAATAGATATGCTGAGACAAATGGTACATCAAACACTTGAAAGAAGTTTACATAAATAAGGCTGCCTTCGTGGAGTATTGTATAATTTTGCTAAACAAACAATTTCAGTATAAATGTAATAAATTGAACTATGTCTATTGTATTTGATTCCTTAATAATCTCTCTTATTTGATTAAGACCTACTAAAGATATTATTTTCTCGCCTGCTCTGCAGGGATTATTTCAAGTGTTCCAGAATCCTCATATGCCTGAAAGCCTTTTTGATACAGACATGTCAAATCCTCTTATAGTCAACCTAATGTGAATTTAGAAAAAACAGTCTTTAGAGTTTCTCCAAAAACACCACGGGAGGTTTATAATCCCCCATGGTCATCAGCAAAGTGCCAAGCTGTTTGGCTGCACGTGCCGACGACCGAAGGGCAGACTTGCTCTCCGAGCTCTGCTTCTCCTGCTCTGCTCTTCCTCTGCCCTTCTCCTCTCCTTCTTTTATTTCGGACTCTACTCCCCAACAATAGTCACTGAATTATTTGTGAAACTCATTTCATATGCGGATTTTTAGCTCAACTCCTCTGCTTCTGCTTCTGGCTAAAAAGAAATTTTTAACAAGGCAGAGTCGTCTCAACATCCCTTCACTCTTACACATGTTCCATTCCAAGTATATGCTGACAAAGCAGAGGACTGAGACATCATCTAGTGAAGAAATAATCCAAAGGCTTGTTTGACATGCCTGAAACATAAGTTAATGTTTCTTGTGTTAGTCCCTCCTTTCCTTCCCCAGTACATTGTAGTACTGCCCTCTAAGATGGGAGAAAAGGAAAACATTCACTTTCTTTGGAGGGGAAGTTTGATGCCAGGAACATGTACTTAAAGTACTTTATCCAAATCCCAAATACAGGGCCTGGGGCCATACAATTTGTGCTTGATATGGTTAGGAAGCTCTCCCTGCCTCCGTCTCTCTGGTGTGATAGGCTTATCCCCAGGTGACTTTGGGGAGAATTCACCTGAAACTTCCAGAGCCTCCAGTGTATGGACTCATGTCATCTGAGGATTAGTAAAAATAGGTCTATTTTTCCAGGTCCAGCTTAAATCCCAACTAAGAAGCCTTCTTTGATCACTCAAATCCACAGCAATCCCATGGCACTTATTATCTGTATAATTCACAGAAAACCTGGAAATGTTTTTAGAATTGATATTTAACACTTTCTTGGTCATAGAGCAATTTCCCTCTCTTTTCGATATTTAGTAAAGAACTGAACAAAGCAAAACACTTTGACATCTACTAATTGTATCATAAATCAATAATAATGTCTATTAAAATGAGTACGGTACCAAGACAAAGTAGTCTTTATCTAAAAGAATTCAGAAAAGAATGGGATGCATTTTAGAAAGATTTCCATAGAAATAATTAAAATATTTACAAATTAGTGTTCTTAGCAATTACAGATAACTGATGCTCCCTGATGATGACAAGAATGCTGCTGCAAATACTAATAGCAGTGAACAAAAGCTAGGTGTTCTTCCCTTGCCAGGCACTGGGCTAAATGCCTTACACTCCCCCTTCCCAAAGCACAGTAAATGTGTTATTGTAATTTACATATTATGGGTGAGAAAACTGAGGGAGTTAAGTGAATGTCTAAAAATTTCAACTAAGTGGTTGAGTCAGGATTTAGAACCCAGGCAGTTTGACTACAGAACCCATGATTCTAAATCTCTAACTAAAATGAATAACTTTGGCTTCATAGTAATTATATTATGTTCCACTTCATTTGGACAATAGAATAAGTTAAGAAATAATGCAGTCTGTCCTACTGACAGATTATCATCTTCCAAAGAAATCTTACATTGAAACATTGCCTTGTAAAGACATGTAAAAACAAGAAGGTGAAATGTGTATTTGAGAGTTTCAGACAAGAGGTAACTATGCTATTTTTCCTTAAGAAATGTGAATAATGGAGAAATTTAAAGAGTACCTAGTGAATTACATTATTACAATTCAAAAATAATAAATACATTAATGAAAATTGAGAAAACAAGCCTAAATACCATTGATTATTTCTCTGCAGCACATAAAACCCAGAGGCCTAACGGTGTGAACGGAAGGAGTAGTTATTGGAACCTGGAGACAGATGGGCCTGGCAAAGTCCACCTGAGAAAGGCCCACAGTCAGCCCCCAGTGGCCCAGTGGGGAGAAAGTAAAGAGAATGAAGAACCTGGCTCACGTTTCTCTTTGCCCTCTGGGCTCTCGCTTATGACTGCCTTGGTCTAATCCGACCAGAAGCCAGAGGCAAGGGAACCCCCAAAAGCAGTCTACTGCAGGCCCATAATGTAGGTGGAGAGCAGGCTGGAGGGGACACTTGGACCCGAGAGGCCAACAGAAGGAAGAGAGCCAGCAGAAGTGTCAATCTGTGCATGTCTTCTACGTTTCTAAAGCCGCCTTCTCCTTCCGAGTTAAAAATATATAGTTATATTTGTACCATTCTGGAAAATCCCCTTACATATTAAAAATCTGAATCTAAAGCAGTCATTCAAACATGCATAATAAAAACCATTCACCCTAAGAGGCAGTTTTATCTTTGCTTCTTTCATCCTTACTTCTTCATACTTTTATTATTTCCTATCTGCCAGGTGCTGCCAGGTGCTGGGCATCAGACGCGACAAGACAAGCAATACATGCTCTTTGTTTTCAGAAACTCACATTCAATAGAAGAAAATAGCTAAAGAGTTAAATTACGTGGTGACTTGCTAAGTGACTTCAGTGGTGTTGGGGGCCCATTGCCTGACTTACTACATTCCTGAAAAGTACTTTTCTCCTTACTTCTGCTGGAGTTGAATCTTATAAGCAATGAACACAAGGCTTGGATAGTGGAATTTGTGGTAAATAACAATGAACACTTGCTCTATATGGCCATAAGATTAAAACTTGGTGCTCAGCATTCTAAAGCCTTTCTTCGTCAAGATGATTTTGCAGCAGGGTTTACTGTTCTTTTCTTCAATTTGTACTTCTAGAGCTCCCCACAGGGCTTCCTGATGTTTGTAAAGTCTTTGCTGAAAGCAGCGTGGGGATGTAGGATGGTTATATAACAGGAACACGGCTCTTTATAACACAGAATGATTATTCCTGGGATTTGAGCTTAGGTTCCCGAGTCTTACTGGCTTACAGCATCTTCGTTTTTCTGGACTGGAGGTAAATGTACAGACTTACAGAAGAATGGGTTTAAATAAGCAACAATAAACAAACCCTCACCTCCGTGCCTCGGGGAGGAGCGAGAGGGACTAAGTCTCCTTAGCTTGCCTGAGATCATCTCAGGCATTATTATCAATGATTTTTAGAAGAGAATCTCCTATTCACAGGGCTAGTGATGTTTTACAGTTCGACAGTGCCCCATATGTAATAAATCTAAATCAAGCCAAGGTCAGGGAGTTGCTGGGTAAAGCGATTGGGTGAAATATTCAGAAGAAACGTGAAAACAACTTTTCTCTCCAGCAAAAGTGCCACGGAAAGAGAAGTTACCTTGCCATCGGAGGAATCTGAGTTCCCTTCCAAGCTCTCTCACTTTGTTCTGTAAGCAAGAATGTTAACTCTGTTGTTTTCAGATCATTTCTTTGTAAGGGAGAGATTGTAAGGCCTACCTACTCAGGGGTCTAATGAGACGTCAGTAGGATTATGTTTCTAAACAATGCATTGCGTGCTTTATACAAGGTAGCTTCTCTGTATTATTGTGCTTGTTGTGATTCCATGGTGCCCTAAAAAAAAGAGGCTGCAGTAGCAACAAAGTCACCTACAGTAAGGTCACTGCAGCTCAGACCAGTGCGCTGAGAGGGAGAGGAGTAAACAGTATGTATAATTTGTTCACAGCTTCCAAGTCAGACTGTGACTTGTTTCCATTCTTCTCAGCTGTAAAACACAAATGCTCATCAGAACAGAGCCTGAGGGATAACGAACCACCAGCAGCCTACGGAGCTCCTAGGGACCGCCTTCAATCTCACTGCAGAAACTTCTCACTCACTGATGGAGATGCTGAAGCCAAACGGGGTCCGACCGGCTTCCCACTACCACAGTGTTCCAGCCCCATCCCATCCTCCAAGCAAACCACAACCATACACTCACCTCCCATAGGGCCAAAGCGCTCTCCCAGAGTGGGCTCCAGACATTTCAGATTTTCATTCCGAGTCGGTAAAGAACCTATGGGCAGGCACCACTAACACAACCATATTTGTTTATTTTTAAGGTATTCTCATTGAAATTGGAGTCCTCATACATTGGCGATGGGAACGTAAGATGATGCGGTCACTCTGGAAAACAGTTTGGCAGTTCTTCAAAAA